TAATGAACATTTCATTATGTACTTCCAAGGAAAATGACCAGAAACTTCCAGGAATCCGGAGATTATAAGTTCAGTTTGTTGTCGATACTGTGAAGACTGGGACACATTAAAATAATCGCTCAATAAATGCTGAAGGGTTGGTCAGTATTCATACCCGAATGTGGTATTCATGATAATAGTAAATTATGATAAAAAAAATTACATTTACTGGTTTGTTTTCTGTTTTCTGGATACCCTGGACAAAACGGTAAAGGTATTATCATCAAACTAATGAATTAAATGATTCTTCTACAATAATGAACTATAAAGAGGTTTTCTTTTTTTATGTCCATCAGGTACACTGTTATTATAGATTTCCACCATTCCAATTTTCATAAAATTGCTTATTTTGTTGGGATTGCAAGAACCACAGACGTCTGACACAAAATATGGAAAGCTATTGGTGTCCCCATTAGCCATAAAAAGTTTCTAAAACGTATTTACAATCCCTTTAAAGTCATATCACATTAGAAAAAAAAACATTTAAAAATTTCTTTATTGGTGGAAGTGTATTGATGTTATAATCTTATGCAGTCTATTAATTTTTACACCGTATTGGCTTTTCTGTAAGACATAAATGAATATGAATATGAATATCAGTATTATCAATGTTAACATTTAGATCAAAAGCTCAGAAGAAAAATGACACGAAAACAAATAAAAGAAATCTAAAACTTCACACTAACCTTTTGTGAAAGATATGCTCGTAGTCTCAGTGAAAAAGCCGAAGGAGAACTTATTTTATATACACTTTTAATACAAAGATTATGTTTTGCATTGAATTTTATTCGCCTTGAAAACATTTGATTAAATTTTGGTTATATACTTTAGGGTTCGTGCTTCTCAACAGGGTAGGAATTTCTTTCAAAGGGACTATGGGGGGGGGTAATTGTCACGTATTTGGTGGAGTGTGGGTTCAGCACGGTTAATGTTGTACTCAGAAAGGAACATGGTTGGTTGAAGATAACTGAGCGAGGTGATCTACGACTAATATTGACGTCATTCACCCCAGACATACAGAAAATCGTGATCGAACATTCGGCCCAAGGGCCATTATTGAACTCGATATGTGGAATATAATTTTATATCCATTCTTTGTTAATTGTTGCATACATTTTTGAGTGAAAAACGTTTCAAAATGATTTATTACGGGGAGGAATGATCTCGCTGAGGTTGAGAAGCTCTGCTTAAGAAAGCAGGCATTATATACGTGTATATTATTTCTGTATTTTTGTAAGCATGTTTAGGACAGACTGTAACTCAAACGGTTGGAGCGTCAGAATATCATCGTCATTAGCTTCGTTAACTGTTTTAACCAAGGATATTTTTTGTGAAATATGGTGATTACTGGTTTTACTTTTTTATTTAGAATTTTAAATCCAAATGTCTTTCACTAGGAAAGTCTTCCAATTTTTCAAGTTTTTTTTATATACAAATACACTTAGTTTATCATCACTTTTTGACGTCATTTCCCTTATTATAAATTCAAGTGAATCTTGAAGAGCGACAAACCCGCCTTGCTTTGTAAATTATTCATCTTCAAGAGAACTTCATTGAAAAGGATTTTTCAATGTATTTACAAATTGTTGTTGCTAGCATTTTGTAGTTGTGCCTTTTTTCAATGACACCTTTGTATCTCATTAAAATCAGATGTGGGAACTACCATGTGGGAAATGAAATGAAATGAATGGAGTTTTACGTCCTACTCATCTGCACCTTGTGGGCTAATGAAGACGGTACCATGTGGGAAAAGGGAATGAAATTATGTTTAAACATCATGTGGGAAAGCAATAAAATTATGTTTATATCCTATGGGGTAGAAGAATACAATTATGTTTATATCATTTTGGGGGCAAGTAATATACCCGGAGGGGCAATGGGGCATAATCTTTAGTTGAAGTAATGAAATTGGTCGGTTGTCAGAATTTTTTCCATTTTTTCGTAGCGCCACTTCTCTCCTTGTCTTCCTGTATTTACGGACCTGATCGTTACTACAAAAAATATCAGTTTATTTAACTTATTTAAATGTACGTCTTGTCTCGTCTGTTGTTGTGTTTCTGTATATCAAAAAGACTAAGTAAAAGGTAGGGTTAATTGATATGAACAGATCTGCATGTCGCCGTGACGTGTATTGCATCGGTAATTTGACATTTCAGTTTGAAACTAGACACACCTTTATTCAAATTCTACATGTTGTGTGAATCATTGTGATGTAACAGTATTTAGACATTTTACCTGTATTTTTCGCTCAACAGCAGATATTCGCCTTATATTAAATGTCAACTACTCGGATAGATTACAAGGACATTTTCGATGTCTGAAAAACGTAGAGACATTTGTGCATTGGATTTTGTCCAAATTTGCATCCCACGATTTGTTACAAAAATGCCGAGTTGGTCAAAACGATGGATTTTGTAAGTTTCCACTGAACTAGTTTATGAGAATGACATGTCTTGCGAGATTACGAATAATATGTAATTTGGACACGTATCATTATCTGTTGCTAACACTGTATACGCACTGCACCATGCTTACTTCATTAAGAACAACTTTGCTTTTCTCTTTGGACTATCTTAATAAGAACAACCTCGCTCTTCTTTTTGAACTGCCTTATTAAGAACAACTTTGATTTTCTCTTTGGACTATATTATTAAGAACTTTGTTTTTCTCTTTTGACGACCTTATTAAGAACAACTTTGTTTTTCTCTTAGGACTAGCTTATTAAGAACAACTTTGTTTTTCTCTTAGGACTAGCTTATTAAGAACAACTTTGCTTTTCTCTTTGGTCTATCTTAATAAGAACAACCTCGCTCTTCTTTTTGAACTGCCTTATTAAGAACAACTTTGATTTTCTCTTTGGTCTATCTTAATAAGAACAACTTTGCTTTTCTCTTGAGACCAGCTTATTAAGAACAACTTTGTTTTTCTTTTTGGGCTAGCTTATTAAGAACAACTTTGTTTATCTCATATACTATCTTATTAAGAACAACTTTGCTTTTCTCTTTGGACTATATTATTAAAAACTAACCAAGAAGAACTGTAGCTACAAGCACTTAACCTTTGTAGATTTACCACTTGTACTTAATCAATGAGATACCATAAATGATTTATAGTTATAGACATTTTAATTATCTTTCTTCATGACATTGGGCTTAAAAGGACTAGATGTACAAGGAGTTTGAAATTGAATGGAATTTTTGTTATTCTTCTTTCTGGTCTAAAGTGTAACAATGGGGTGAATTTTGTCAGAACAATGGCATAAGCCTACTTAATTTGCATATTTCTGTCCGCCGAAGGTTCTTAACGCACAAACCTGTAGCACACGTGGCCTCGTTTTATTGTTCGAACAGAACGACAGGGTTCTTTTTTACTGGCCCTTCTATTCCGGGCGATTAACATAGGTTAATGGAGCTGAAGATCGGATGGTATTGAACCCTGGATTTCAAGAAGCATCCCAGGCAATACCGACTAGTACAGGCGGTTAACTCTCAATACATTAAAGTCACTGAATGCAAGACAAATAGATTTTACTGCTTACGAAAGCACTGGGCTGTAGATCTGAATTATTTTCTGCATGTTGTATGGTCGACATCATAACTTTTCAGTGTAATTCTCTATCTAAAGATGAACTCAATACGAACCTTGCGTTCTACTTTTCTGCACCGTGTGGATTAATGCAGGCGGAATACGAACCTTGAACTTTCTAAAAGTGACAAATGAACTGTAAAGTAATATAACCCATGAGATTCCCGGTTTCACATGCTAAATGCAGCAATATAATATACAAATTTTTATATATTTTAATAATGTAATCTACTCTGTCAACGCTACACCTTTGTAATTGAGAGTTTTTATGTTATGTATCTGTTGACACTTGACCACGTAAGTGTTTTATGGTTGTCAACAAAATAAATACCAAGATATGACGAGGTTTGGTTGTACTGCTTATTTATAGAAAGCAAAATGAAATGAAATCAATGTTTTACTGCACCATGTGGGCTAAAGAAGACGGGCAAAATTGTAGGGTGTAATAAGGGAAATTTTGCCAGGACAGCACCATTAGCCTGCTCTTTTCCGGTTTCCAACTGTCGAAGGACCATTAACGTGCACAGCAAGTAGCACACAGGGCTTTGGTTTAATATCCCATCCAGACTTATACAAAGTAAAGCAAAGCCAGAAGTATTATATTTCAGTTATACAGAACTTCCTTCTGTGCTATGTCTCAGATAGACTTCCTAACTCGACCAACTTGTGGGTTTCTATTATATATACGACTTGTTTACGACGAACATGTAGACAATTAAATAGATAAATGTCACTTAAGATAAAAAGTCGGGCTTCAGATCTGGACATTAATAATTTATTAAATTATCGAGGTTTCACGAGACTGTACGAAGTAAATAACTTTCTCATAAGAAAATTGAACGGAGACCATACTCTCAGAGAGGCCAATTGGCATGTTATCGTCTATCCCTTGGATTATGCCGTTTTTTCATTCGAAATAAATTCGAGATTCGAAATAAATTTATGCCAAAATAAAATAGATTTATTTTTTTGCCAAAAATACAACGCCTTTGCCAAATTATCGATTGCCTGCAACGTTCAATGAAAACAAATGCATTATTAAACGCAGTTGACCCAATCAGACTAGTTTAGTCATTAACACGCCATGTGAAACTGCTTAGTGCATGTACGGCATATGTTCAATTTAAAACCATAGGATTATACAATTTGTTATTATTATTACTATTAAACCATTGATTTACCAATCGATAATCTTAAATATTTAATTTGAAATCTGTCCAAACCAAAATACATGTTGTTAGCTGGAAAAACTTCAATTACACAGTATTGGTTTGTGCACGAACTGGTTGTTACTATTGTAAATCGGTATTCGAAACGGGATATCAGAAATTTAGAACATTGTCATTAATTACAGGTTACCAAAGAAAAAACTCATCATGAAGGACATAGCTTATAGTGAAATCCTGACACCAGCAACCCAGTTCTTGCCAACCAAAGTCACTCAACCACCAAGAGATATTATTAAAACCTTCTCACATACGAAACGGGTTGGAAATTACCTTCTGGGTAAAACATTAGGAGAAGGATCGTTTGCTAAGGTTAAGGAGGCTTTACATGTACCAACAGGAGAAAAGGTAAGATCTGATTTCATAATGAGAGATGGTCCCAAGTAAAATTTTTAATGATGCATAATAATATGTCTGTGTTCTGTCTGTCTACTCTTGAATCGTTCCAACAGCATCATTCTTACTGGTTCAGCATTTTTTGGGGGTAAATTTTAAAGGGACAGATGCGCCATTTTTTGACCAATTATACCTCAGTCTCGGTAATGGGAATTTTTTTTTAGCTTGGCCAATCAGTAATAGTGTTCACAGCTCACCGTCGAAATGTGAGCAATCAAATACAGGTGTGTCCAGAATTATCCTCGTTTGAAAGTTAAAAAAACGAGTCGTCTTTTCTTGAGACAATGCTTAAAATAGAAAAGACATCTATAGAAATAGGAAAAGTAATTCCAAGTTTGAGATATTTTTGAAGGAATTGTGCTATTTTTGTATTCCCAATTTCTTCATCCCAAATACTTTTTCAGTAAGATTTGAAAATTGAATACCTCAAGAATTTTACATTTTCCAGATCCATTTTTCCTTGGACATGCATAAACAACTTTTATTTCTGTAACTATTTTTAAAGGTTGCTGTGAAGGTAATTGATAAGAAGAGAGCTAGAGCCGATTCGTATGTTCGTAAAAACTTACGCAGAGAAGGCAAACTTTTGCAAATGGTGCGACATCCCAATGTCGTGAAACTGCTCGAAATTATGGAAACTGAAAACAGTTATTATCTAGTCACTGAACTATGTCAAGGTGGTGATTTTATGGACTATATTTGTAAGAAACGGAAGCTAGAGGAAGGAGAAGGCAAGAAATATGTTAAACAGATTGTTTCCGCAGTAGATTATTTACATCGTTTGGGAATTTTACACAGGTAATTTACATCACTTCCCGTAATTTACAAAAGAGTTGTCAGAAGAGTTGTCAGCAAGGATTATGTTGTTTCTTTGCTAAATGCAGTTGTGCAAAGGCCCAGATTAAAGGAACACATGCACATTTCTTTAGACCAATTATTTTAGTCTCAGAAACGAGAATCGTCTAGCTAAGCCAATCGATAATAGTGTTCACAGCCTTTCAATCTGTGTGTCAGGCATTATCTGCGTTTGAAAGAAAAATCGTCTTTTTGAGACACTGCCATATATAGAAAAGACATCTAAAGAAATAGGAAAAGAAATTCCTAGTTTGAGATATACGTATGTTCTAACCTTTAATCAAAATCCATGTCAAATTCAACGTTAAAGAATAATCTTCAAGGAAACAACGCCTCTGACTTCAACCTGATGTTTAATATGACTGTACCTGATCGTATGCAACACGCATTCATGTCTCAGTGTTCTGTTTTCCTTTTAGTTTTTATGAACCTATTTTCAATTTCCACCTAACTGTTTGACAAACACTTGCACACAGCTTTGATGATTACTCAACAAATGTTTGCAGTTTCAAGAACCAAGGTCATCGATTTCGCAAATAAAATGTCAAATTCAGAGGAAAATTAAGTGCACGGTACAAAATAACTGTGTTGAAAATTACTGACTGTATTTTAGTAGAAAAGAGTCACTTGCAATCCCGTGACATATGCGCAGGTTATGCTGTGTAATTTTTCGAATAGTTCGGTCGTTAACGGGGGCTAGAACCGCAGTACAGCGTTAAAGGCATTGTAAAGAGGTTTTCGAAAATTTGTATGTGTATTGGGCAAACCGTAAGCCTCAATTTGCAGCATTCCAATTTTTAATCAGATGTCTGTGGTTCCTTAAATTCCTTCCACTTAAACTAAGTGAATGTTGGCATCAATATCCACGAAAAGCATATTTTGCGATTAGTGACGCAGGAATCACAGACGTCAGACTGAAAATTTGAATAGTGACCTGACCTGTTCCCACACATTTACAAAAGTTTACATGGAAGCTAAAAAAGTTTTTAAAAACCTCCATATTTCGGTTACGATACTTTACAAAATCAAACTAGACGAGTAGAATGATATAAACTAACCTTTCAATCATTCAATCATTTTGGATGAAAAGGCAGAGCTCGCAAGCCAGTTTTATTTACCTTGAATGCCTTCGTAGTTCATAAGCATTTTGGGTTGATTATCAATAAAAGCTAAGTGAACATTTGGCATATTTAGTACCATAAAAGACTTTAGTATTGCTATAATATTACTTTATCTGAGTAATAATAATAATATTTAATAGAAATATAAAAACTGGGGTTACGATTTGAAGTATTACACTTAACAACTTATAGCATTACATTTATAGGCTCTCAAGAGTTCGTAAATCTTGTTAAAATTTAAAGCGAATACTTTTTACATTCTTAGTGCAAGTGACAAAGGCTTAAAGGTATACTACCTATTAAGATAACCAAAAAATATAAATTCAAACTTGGCCAATGAGTCTTTAATCATCGGTGGACTTGCCTGGTGGCAAATACGACAGAATCCTTCTAATATATCCTAATAAATAAAAAAAAATAATAATAATAGTAAGTAATAATCCATCCAACAAAGTAAATTTGAACTGTTTTTCAATAATTATTTAGTTTAATGGATACATCGTGTTATAATAGAGATTTTAATCTTTAGTCATGGCATCTGGTAAGTCCAACTGATGAATAATTAATGACCAAGTTTGAGACCTTAGATTACATGTCCATTGTAAGAGGTAGTATTCCTTTAATGGGATCGATGTGCATGGACTACCTTATCTCTGCCGCAAGCAATGTTTTCATTACTTCTTGTGTTTATAATTATATACACCAAATGAATATATCAAATATTTTCACTGAGTTCTTTTTTTTCAGAGATCTAAAAATTGAAAACCTTCTTTTAGATTCTAATAAAGATATTAAAATTATTGGTAAGTTGACTTCTAACAAATTTCCCTTAAGGGACAGGTTCGCAATCCGTTTGACCAATCGTACCTTCTCAAAAACAGGATTATTTTAGCTAATCTAATCAGTAATGTGTGTCCAGAATTATCCGCGTTAAAGTGACCACACGTTTTTTGTTGAGACTCTGCCATATATATAAAAAAAAAATCATACACGGAAGTAGAAAGGGAAATTCTTAGTTTATGCGATTTTGTTCAGTTTTAGTACTTCTGAAGACTATTTACATATTTTCAAGTCCCAAATCTACCTAAAAAATTTGAGCACTCGTCCCTTTGATATTTAGCGACTGATAAAGAAGTCGCTCTTCTATTGAGTATTATACCCCGGTGCTGTTAATGTTGCATCATGAACATGCGCTGTTATGAAGTCTTGTTCTTTTCAGATTTCGGACTGAGTAATATCATTAAAGTTTCAACAACCACCGAAGGGACGAGGGCACAAGAATTTTGTGTTACTCAATGTGGTTCACCGGCATATGCTGCTCCTGAATTACTCAGTCATCAAAAATACGGTCCACAAGTAGACGTTTGGAGCATGTAAGTTGACTTTCTTCTTTGGAACCCTGTACGTGGGAGAGAGGGGGTCGGGATGAACCGATGTCAAAACTTTGAAGCCCACTTACCATTAAAATTCTGGTTTAGTTGGCATTCTTCTCCACTTTGCTTTCTCATCTCGTTGTTGAATCATATCCCATCTCTACATAGATCTGGATCTCATGACCAACGTTGGTATTTTTCGACGCCAACTAGCTCTTTTAATTTATCACACGATTGGAATATTTGGTTGGAGTGAAGCAAGGGAACCAGATCGCAAATGAGTTTAGGACAACAAATCATATCTTTTCAATCATTTCTATTAGTACTTTGTCTCAAATGATATAATTATGTTCTTTTTTATTAACCCTCCTGTTTTGTTTTTCATGACATTTTGAGTTATTCACTTGCTATTTGAGTTGTTTTCAATGATTTTTTCGGTATGTTTCCTTTTTATTGTTTGATTAGTCGGTCGCTTTTACATTTATTTATTTATTCATCAAGGTAAAAAATTTTCTTAGTATAAAGCTGGAGACTTTGATAATATGAGGGGAATTTCATAGCTTTGCTCTTAAAACTTACTTCAAGTTTTCAAGTCTTGCATTTCATTTGCGACTAAAAGTAATAGTTATATCACCATTGACATAAAGTACAGACATTGAATTTCGTCTGAATTTCGTCGTGACTAATTTTCGAAGGCACAGGTAAATTTTGGTTTCAAATATTGTGCATGGACTTAAAAGGAAGGATCAGAACCGAACAATCAAACCAGTAGGTGTTTAAGAATGTTTTCACAATTTCTATGTCTATTTGATTTGAGTAGAATATTAGTATGTGTATTTTGTGTAAGTCTTGTCTTTTGTCAGCAACATTACTATGTTGAGAAAGGTTTTATCCCTAATGGATCGTAAAGAGGTTCTCTAAAATTTGTATATTGTGTTTAGGGAACACAAGTGGCATCGATTTGCATTATTCAAATTTTCAATAAAACGTCTGTCGTTCCTGCAATTCCACTAAAACTAAAATTAATCGCTAAGGACCTTAATGTGATATTTTGCGATTCGTCATCAAACACTTAGTTTAAGTGGAATTGCAGCGACCACATACGTCTGATCGAAATGGATCAGGCATTGGAATGGTGCAAATTAGTGTTCCAGATACACATAAACATGTTAGAAAACCTATAAAAGTTTTTGTCTTGTTATGTTAGATTGTAGTTAGTGTTTCGTTGAGAAGTAGATAAGTTAGCTTCCACGTCTAACAACTGTTTGTTTTTATCTAATATTAGTCTAACAATTTGCCTGGGGAAATCTGTTTCGGGTCTTTCAAATCTGCACAATCCGTACAGTCTTACACAGTTAATCAAAACTGTAAGCCTGAAATGGGGTGGGGGGTATTCTTGAAAGCTATATTTAGGTATTTTGAAACAGGAAATGGCGTACAAAATAAAAAGTATATGAGCATTTATTGCATTCATCATGGGCGACAAAGGGCATTTAGAGGGTTGGTCAAAAATACGATTCCCCGGGCAACAGTAGTTTCAGTCTGTAAGTCGGAAGTTCCCACCATGGTCTAAAGGTATATCAATTGTTTTAAATACAAGTTAAGAGATCAGCCTATAATTAAAATTGGACCAAATATTTGTTCCATCTTTTTATAAGCTTTTATTTTTAATATAGCCATTTCAGTTAGGGTCTGAAGATGGACGTCTAAAACATTCGTTAAAATAAACTTTTGACCTCACCTAATGACCCCTGCTTCAACCAATCAAATTTCTGCCCTCTCCAGTACTGTGATTTTGTGAGAGAGTGAAGAAATTTGATTAGTAAAAGCCAGGTCACCAAGTTAGGCCAAAAGGTTATTTGACGAATGTTCACGAGGCCCGTCATTAGACCCTAAGTGAAGTGGCTATTTTAAAAACAAAACAAAAAAACGGAACGAAAGTTCAGTTCAAGTTTGATAAAGACTTGTTCAAAGATGAGTTTTATTTGTCCTCAATACGATTTTTAATAACAAGGTACATGTATCTTTTTCGTTTTCTAGTTTTTTGCTGCATCTGTATTTAACACTGGTGAAGGTTAATTTTCAAGATTTCTAATAATAATGCTAATTTGCCGTTTTCAGAAGAGACATATATTCAGGATATCCTTTATAGTTTTTTTTTTTTTTATCCTTGTAGATTTTTTCTAGATCCTTGATTTTCATTCCGTTTTTTTTTCTTTATATTTTTTTAGTAGTTTTGTAGTTTTTCTGAATGATTTTATTGATTTTAATTTAGATACTTTAAGGGATTACGGGAACATAACTTAATATTTTCATTATTTTAGTGGCGTTAACATGTTTGCAATGCTAACTGGTAGCTTGCCCTTCACCGTTGAACCTTTTAATATAAAGGCTCTTCACAACAAGATGGTTATGGGTCTAATGAACCCTATTCCTGAACATCTTTCCAACGGTAAGTCATTGATGACAATGAAAATGTATGCAAGAATAACGATACCCTTTATGCATCGCCCAGATAGGTATTTTCATGCGAACAATTAAAATGTTATAAGGTAACTATCCATAAGGCCCAATCTCATTTCGTCTCAGAATCAGCACCAAAACCTTCATGAAATTTCTGTGTAACAGATGAGTGTATGCACAGCTACTGTTGATTATACTGACGTAAGTAGTATGTTACAGCTTCCAATTGCAATAAAAATATACTAAAGGAAGAATAACGGTCAATACATTTAGCTCAGTCTTTTCAATCACACAAAATCATAATGTTTGATGCATAAAGTCAACTCAAGGTAGCATAATACTGAGGTAGAAGTATTTTACAGCTTGCGATTGTAATTAAAATTTCAAGACCGAACCAATCCCTTTTGCTTCAAATCTTCAAATTATTTGTACGTGAAAAATGTTAACTAGTTTGAAGTGGTCACTTGACTGTAAAGCGAATATACATGTAATCACAATCTACAGTGTCAAGCAAGTTTAAACCTATTTCTCTAATAGGGACTTTCATGCATGTCGCATTACATAAAGCAAGATTATTTTTAACTCATATAAAAACAATATTAGAAAAAATGTTAATTGGATTGTTACGTGTTTCTTTTCTTTGAAACGATGGTGAAACAAAAAAGATCTTCCTAATCAATACAATCCTTTCATTTAAAAAGAATCAATATATTCTTCAATAAATGAATTAATTTTCGTTTCGTGACAATCAACAATCGTTCCATTCGGCAATTCTCGACAGTTTCCGTTTAAGTTGTAGCTACCTTTATAATGAATGAAAGATTTTTCGTCGAGTATTCTAGAGCGAGTCTATTAACTTCGGCATTTCACAATGATTATAAGTGATAGTAATATTGCGACCTGAAAATAGTGCCTAGCTTTGGAGTCTATAGGGGATAATTCTAGCATTTACCTAGGGGAGTTGATACTATATTGTGACAATCTTTAAAACAATTTCCAAGAGACTTTTCGTTCTTTGATTAAAAGTGATAAGGGTGGCTCAGCATGATGCTCTGCGTGGTTCATACAGCTCCGGAGTTCGATCCCCACAGATGTTGACGAGAATTTCAGGATTCGGACTTATCATCCCGGTTTTTCCCTGTCAGTGATGCTGGTTTGAGCGATTGACTTGAATAAGCCTTCAGTCGCTCGCATTGAACAATAAACCAAGTGCTACAGTCCTTAAATGTCTGAACAGATTCCTGCAGATTTGCATATTAAAAAGGGTGGTCATATCCATTCAAAATATCCCACATTGCACACAGTAAGGTGTTGGACTCTTCGGAACAGAAAAGAATTTTATTTCAGCATTTTTAGGACAGCGTATTTTTATTCTTATGATATTTGTTTTATATTTTTTCATTTTTTGTGTATTAATTTCGATTTTATTTTCCTAGAATGCCGAGACTTACTTCGCAAATTTTTGACGCCTGATCCAGAGAAACGTGTCACAATCACTGATGCTATGAAACACCATTGGTTGTGTGACGGTGAGTCCAGACTCTTAGCACGACGAGTATGAATAGATGTCTGAGATTTCTCTTTGTTGCTTGTGCATCTTGTCTTAAAGTCAAAAGTATTCAGTTATCTGTCCAAGACATTCTTTTTCTGAAATTCACATTTCCAAATAACTTTATTTTTTTGTAAAGTGTATTGGAGACACATCGATTAGCACCATTCCAATTTTCAATCAGACGTCTGTAATTCCACTAATACTATGTGTAAATGACGGCACTATCGCAAAGGTCCTTATGCTGTATTTATTACCTCTGGAAAATATGGAAAATACGACTTCCGAGGTGGTAAATAGCATTCGTTACTTCAAAGTGTGCTCAGAAGTCGTGTGTTCTGCTGGAGAACTTTGGTAGCTGAAATTATATCGAGATCACGACATATGACGTACGATTTCATTTAATGGAATTGCAAAAGCTACAGACGTCTGACTGAAATTGGAAAATCGATGCTATCAGTGTCTCTTATAAGATTTTAGAAACTTGTTCAGAGTCCCTTTGTTTAAAATCCCTCTTTGAAATTATTTGAGTTATCCCTTGGAATCTGTGTGGAATACTTTAAGATATGGGTATGATATATCAAAAGAATATTTTGGACAGATATCTGGTTTTCACTCATTATATTTTTTTCACCCTTTTCTATTCTCTATCATATTTATTTCTAGATACAGCTTTGATCTCACTTTAACATAACGCATGTTAGCTACTAGTGTATACAAGGAATGTGTTTTTTCTCCTTACCTTATCACTAATATACACGCTTGTAAAGCACCCTAATGGTAATGTTTTATTTCTGCATGTTTTTATATACTATACTTAATACAAGGTATGTTTGATATTTTTTTTATATAGTAAATGATAATGGATATATGTCTATGTACCGTATTATATTTCAACTGTAGTGTTGAAGGGACAAATGCGCCATGTTTTTTTTATTTGACCAATCAAACCTTAGTCTCAGAAATGAGAAAGTTAACAAGACGAGTCGTCTTTTCTTGAGACATTGTCATATATGGCAAAACCATAAGAAAAGAAATTTCTAGTTAGAGATATTTTGAAGGAATTGTGCGATTTTTGTATATTTCTAGAATATTCAAGAATCAAATTTAAATTAACCCCAGAATGGCGCAATTATCCCTTTAATGGGTTGATGTCTTGCCTGTGGAAAGACGTGCTAATTATCGCACTTTATATGCAACACGTTTAAATGGATAAGTGCATGAAAATGTCAAAGTTAACAAAAAATAGCATGCGTCTACAATATCAAAAGCAAAGTTCCTGTTAGCAAAGTTAGTTTATATTTTGCTCTTTGGAAAGCGTCAATGCTTGTCAAGTCATCTTTTGGCTACAAGCCACGATAACATCAAAATGTTGAAATAATTTTGGTTTGTCTGTGGTAAAGAGACATAAATACTATGGATGATATTTTAAAGTCTTGAGGATTATTTTGGATAATGATATTTCTCATGGTGGCTCCAAACTTAAATAAAAGTTGTAACATTTAGTCGATAATATCTGCATCTTCTGTCCATTCTGTTAAATTTGCTTGACCTTTAGTACACCAAAGAATCCCGACGATTTGTTGCCAAATAGCAAATCACTAAATATGCACTCTTCATATTTTTATAATGCTTGTATATTTAGCGTATATTATGTAACTGATATTATTGATTTCTTATTAACTATATTGTATGATAATATTTTAAAGATATTTTAATTTGGCACTGTTACGTCCTTATACATACACATAATATTGCCATGTTTAATATTGTCATATAGTTAAAGGCATTGTCTTATAATATAATTACATACATTACCACCTAAGTTAAAGATTGTAAAGAGATTATCAACGTTGCAATACTGAATCGTCATATTATAGGGATTGTAAAGAGGTTTTCTGAAATCTTCAACCAGACATCTGTGGTTCCCGCAATTCCACTAAAATTAAGCGTTTTATGACGTCATAAATCGAGAAGTATTTTGCAATTAGTGACGTCATAGAACACTTGATTTGGTGGAATAGCAGGAACCACAGACGTCTGATTGAAAATTGGAATGTTGCAAATAATTGACTCTATATACATCAAAATGTTAGAAAACCTTTTTACAATCCCTTTAATGAATATTTAAAGGATCCAAAAGGAACATATTTACATAATGAACATTACCATATTAACATTGCCACTTTGATATTTATCTTTCAGGGGGAACTGGTGGGAAGTTCGAACGCCATCCCTGTCCAAATAAACTGAAAACAGAAGAATTGGACAGTAATCTTCTGAAACATATGTGTCATAACCTTGGATTTCGAATGGGAGAGATAGTAAGGTTTTGTACTGGTAACATACCAAGCGCTGCTAATGCCACATATCAACTGTTCTCGAAGAAACTGAAGCGTTATAACAACGATCCCAAGACAAAGAGTTCGAGCAGCGACAGCCGTATGATGGAACCTACACGAATCTCCCTTATATTTCATGTAAGTAAGGCGCAGCGGCGTAACGAGGAGTTCATGGACGGATGTGACCGTCTGAGCGCCCCGGCCGGAAAATTTTCTTACATAAGAAGGCGCAGAATTCATCTCACTCATTGGAATTCTGGTAACCGTTTTGAACAGTTTTTACGGAATTACAATATCGACTCATGACGTAATCAGAGTGCCAAGAAAAACTGCGGCTATCTTTTCCGGTAGTGCCTGTACGTAATACACGTGGAAAGGTACATTTCACAGATTGGCATAAACAATGAGAATTCCTAGTTATAATACTATAAATTATATTTTTGTATATAGGAACTGCCGCAGAAACGAGTTACTGTTATGCCGGCTGGATTGAAGTTACTTCGACGACGAGCTGACACGAATAACGACAGTACTGATGACAAAAGCGGTCCTAAAGTAACTCAAGATCAACATGACGTTGAAAATAATAAAAACCAAGAGATGACACAACATATCACTTATAAATATGATGGTAAAATTTGGCTTTCTTTTTATTTTCAATGCACAAATTTTTATTCATAGCTTTTAACACGAAAGACTGATGTTCTCAACTTGAGTTTAATCCAATGAGTTGTATTATGTTTTCCTTGCTTATGAAAACGGCCATGGTCCGCCATTTTCGGGGGTTGATTTGGATCCTAAATATAATATGTTCAGAAGTACTTGAAATGCACAATCCCTTCAAATATACTCCAACCTAGCAATTTCACTTTCTATTTCTATATACATGTATGTCTTTACTATTATTGCGGAGTCTAATAAAAACGAGTCGTCATATTAACTATCAAACGTGGATAATTCACACACATGGATGTGAAGGCTCAAAGATTTTAAGGCTCTAACTAAATAGCCATAAATGTATGGTAATTACCATTACTAATATAACCAAATTCCTCATTGACTTTTTAATCTTGGTATTCTGGAGTTTATTTATAAAAACAATTGTTGGTTATTTTATAAATGCCATTAATATGTTTTTCCAGGCACAAGGACGCCATTGAAAGAGAAAGTAATTGTCAATACTACGTCTGAAAATGGTTCAAATAAACCGAGCAGTGTCTACAAAAATTCAAACATGCAGAGAGTGTTGTGTTCAAATGCTACGTGGTTGAGGAAAACTTGTCATAAAGATAAGAAAACAATGAGTGAGGAGTTATCAAGTTTAAATAAATTATTATCTCCAAGATTGGAAACCAATAACGATATCAAATATTCACATCATCACTCTCAACAACAATCAGATGGGAAAAGTCACGTGACAGTCAACATGGCGACCAAAAGATTCCCTGTACCACCGACACGAAATGTTACAACAGACAATAGTCCCAAAACCAATGGAATGTCGACATCGGTAAACACTAACAACGTCAACAAAATAAACAATAATGTTAGTGTCTACAATACTCGACGTTCAATAAACATCAATGCTAGTCCAACGACGACGTATCTGAAACACTCACAAATACATGAAAATTCCATGGCTACAAAACGCCCTGTGTCTCCGTTTCGAAAACGAACTCCGCAAGTCCAAGACACGAAAAAAATTCGAACCGTGATGGAAGTTGAATCGGATATGAGCGCCGGAGCCCGGTTATCTGCTATTATGAATTCAAGAGTTTCAATGTCTCGAAGTGCCCAATCAGAGGATAGCGCTAATGTCACCTTACCAGAGGTGTCCTAAGACATGCCTTAAGCAGGATATAGTTTGTGGCTGGATGCTGAACTACTTGCACTTGTAAGATCATTTAAAATATGTGTCAGATTAGTTGTACACCATAACTAATTGTAAGATCAGTTGTATGCTGATCTCTCTGTCAGATCATTAGTATGCTGACCTTTCTGACAGATCAGTTGTATGCTGAACTTTCTGTCATATCAGTTATATGCTGAACTTCCTGTCAGATCAGTTGTATGCTGATCTCTCTGTCAATTCAGTTGTATGCTGAACTTTCTGTCAGATCAGTTATATGCTGAACTATGTGTAAGATCAGTTGTATTCTGACCTTAAATGACAACGCTCACAACGATTCAAGAACCTGTAATGGAAACGTATTTACTTGTGCCAGAAATCTTAAAATATGCTTGATATTATACGTATTTGTATCGCTTGGAGGGAAATGGCATTTTGCTTCTTATACATCTAATCAATCATAACAATTGTATCAGACTTCGTGAACAAACCCGGGCATTCATGAAAATAATGTGTCCTACATATACTCGAAAGGGAATTGGTTTGTGACAAAAGACAGAACGAATACAAAAAATGTGAGGCGACATCGAAGCTAGTCAAACAGACATTAATATGTTTATGATCTGTGGCGAAGAATTTCATTGAAGGGGGTACCACTCCCCTTCCTTCCTAAATACGCCTCTATCTATAATCATATTGATAAAGCATTTTGTACGTCCATTTTTCTATTTTATTTATTTAGTTACCATTATTTATTTGACAATGTAATTATGTGTTCATATTTTGCTCTATAAATACTCATATTTTCATTACATTATATTTTCTTCCGTTATTCCATTATTCAAGGCTTTTAATCTGTGTTCATAGTCAAGAACAGTAGTTCAGATCCAGACAGGCGACCCAGATCTTTGCTTTTATCCCATATGGTTGAAATAGAGGGTGAATGGGGGTTGTCCTTCCAAATAGTCAAGTCTGGCTACGGGTCTGAGGACTATGGCTATCGATCTGATGAAAAACGGCTTATCTGACTTCTACAGACCACAAATAGATTGTAATTATCTCCCTTTGACCACAAGCAAATTCCTGGTGATTCACGAAGCACCCGTATTACAGTGACTTGTTGGAATAACACAAAGTGTTAGAAAGAAAAGAAATTTGTGGGCATGTAAAAGTTTAATACGAACATGAATAATTTTTCATTTGAGTTTTATGTGCCACCAAATAGTTTTATACATAATAATGAAATAAATTAAGTGATTTATATACAATGAATTAAAATTGTTGGTCCCCTCGTTTTCCACCACATAATCTTATAGATATTTGTTTGTTGTCATATTTTTACATTGAATTTACAAATAATGGCCGCCACATTTCACATAACAAGTACTTAAAAATTCTATAAATTGATGAAGATTGGTTAATTTTTGACTGAAAACTTAGTTCTACTTTATGATTTCGTTCTATCCACATTATTTTCACTAGGTTTTCTGTTTTCATCAGTTTTTTCTGTTTTCACCAGTTTTTTCTGTTTTCACCAGTTTTTTTCTGTTTTCACTTGTTTTTCTGTTTTCACTTGTTTTTCTGTTTTCACCAGTTTTTCAGTTTTCAACTGTTTCACCTGTTTTCACCAGTTTTTCAGTTTTCACCAGTTTTTCAGTTTTCCTGTTTTCACCAGTTTTTTCGTTTTCACCTGTTTTTCGACTTTCAATATTTGATACTTGAGGTATTTCATTTTCAACAATTTGGTTATTTTTGCTACCGAGCTGATCATTTTGTACCATGGTAATGTTTGTATTATTTATTTCGTTTATATTTAGATTATTATCTTGTACAGTTGTTGTATTTAATTTAGTGACATTGTTCTCTCTTAAGTGTTCTGAAAAAAAAATTGATTAGATTTTACTTTTCATCTGCCAGATTTTGCCAGAACAGACGGTTGTTAAGTGGCAACAGGTGTTCTTGTAGACCGAGCACAGCCTGTCTTGCATAGTGAGATTCTCTGGCACAGTTGGTTAGAGCGTTGCTTCTTTACATGATGTCATATGCTTGGTTGAAGCAAATGGCCACTTAGGTTCCTATCTCTATCGTGAAAAAGTCATCTTCACTCATAATTCTAGTCGACTCAGCTGTAAATGGGTATGGATAATCTGGGAAATATTGGTGGCAAGAGGTTTAGCTCAGGACCAGATGGTGGAAAGGATCTGACTGTGAACCTAAGTTGTTATCCTTGTAGTTATTTCTTTCTTTCTTTTTTTATATCCAAACCTATACCTAAAAGGTCAAATGATGACCTTAGCAGCAGTCTGGACATCAGAATTGTATTTTACTGCAAGTCCATCAATTTCACATTTGAGATCACTGAAATTCTAAGACTAAGATCTTCTAAATGTCACGCTATAACAAACTTCATACTAATACCTATTCTTGTGTCACAGAAGTTTGTAAATAAAGCAATTTGATTGGGTTGTATGATGGGTTCTGATTGGCTGTATACTCTGGCATACAATCTATCAAATCACTACCTTCCATGATACAACAATAGTGGCTATTGCAGTCAAGGTATAAGTACAAAGTTTATATAACTTGACATGATGAAGATGAGTTTAAACATAAAAAGAAATATTTTCTTACCATTAAAATCAATACTGTTGTCTGATAAAAGTTTCATTAACCTTTCATTTTCTTTTTCTAATTTTTCATATTCCTGAAAGAATTTGAGAAACTATTAGTTTTTGATGAAAGCATATTTTAGATTTTAATAACATAATAATAAAAATCTGTAGAAGACAACTAATACCAGTAACCAAAAATTTCGTCCAAAGCATGATGAAATATGGAGAAATAATAGTCTCCTCAAACAACAGTACTTGTAATTTATTGTCATTAGACTTTCATGTATACATTCCAATTGCATAATTATGTATATACATGTTAGCCTGGTATGCCTGGCATCAATATAGTTCCATGAATTATGAAATATGGTTCCTGGTATGATATACCAACAGGATGGGTCTACGTAAGCAAGTGAGAATTAAGCCCCAGCAAAACGTTGAATTTCATCAAAGTTCTCTGTGCTTCTAATTTTTCAAATTTTTATGGGCGAGGGCACCCAGACCCCCCACCTCATAGAACACATGGCTCTTCACGTCAACAGGCCCACCAGCAATAACTTAGCACAGAATCTGAGCCCGAGCACAAATTCACTCCGACAGGACTGCATAACAATGGTAGGTAGGTAGATGACAAGTTAATGTTCGCTTCCAGCGGATGCTGATATCGCAAACTAGGTAGTTGTTGGTAGTCATATAGTAGTTGGTAGTTGGATCGGTTCAAATTGAATGATTCTGTGTTTTTGGCTGTTGATTCTTCGTTAGATCTGGTCTGGTCGAATGACATGGCGGTGAAACATAACAATATAAACAACAAAGACTTATAGCAGATGACTGACCTTTTCACACTTAACCTGTGTTTGAAATCTACTATTAGCATCAATTCTAACTTCAGCTACTATTTCTTCTGGCTTAATTTCTAATAACTTTTTCTTTTCTTCACTTAAATAAAACCCTGCTTTCTCAAACAGTTGGTTTAGTTTCTTCTTGTAACCCTGAATAAAAATATTGTCAGTTTAAACTGCTTCACTTTTTACCAAAGTGTGTTGGAAGTACTGTATTTGATATTATGTCCCTAAGCACACGAATATTGTTAACTTGTCTCAACATGTAGACTTGAGAATAAGTTCTACTTGCCAAACTTCAGTTAGGAGGTAGATTGAAATAGATCAGTTGTCTAAAGATCACACAATGGAGTATGAGTAGCAACATATTTCAGGTTCTGCTTTAATATTTTATATTGCTCTACTACTGATGTATTGAACACTATTTTAAAAGTTAAAATATTATTTTATTGTAGAAATCAGGCTGCATTTTTATCAATATAAAAATATTCAACCTTATTGGTGATCTCCTGGTGAAATAACTTAGTTTCTATATCATCCCATTCTAACTGGTGTTCTTTAGACATTACAGGATAGACTAACATGGCATCAGTAGGACAAACTAGAGGAGTTTGTAGTATCATGTGGTACCAACAAGTAGATGGTTCTGTTACATTTAATATTTCAGTCTTTCTACCACATTTAAAATATATCTGAAAAAAAATTCTATATGTTAAAAGAAACAGTTATAGTTTTCAAAGCTCTTAGCTCACCGTTCAAATTTGAGCCATCAAATCCATATTTGTCCAGAATTATCAGCATTTGAAAGTTCTCAAGACGAGTTGTCTTTTCTTGCATTATTATACAAAAGATATCTATAGAAATAGGAAAAGAAATTCCTAGTTTGAGATATTTTTGTGTGTTTTTCATACATTTCTAGTACTTCTCAAGACTATCTGCATATTTTCAAGACTCAAATCAACCCCCAAAATGACATGTTATTTGAAGCAATCCAATGTTCTGCCATATAACTGTGATTTCTTTAATTGGAAACAGTTGCAAATAGAAAAAGAGTAGGCTAATGGTGCAATAACCCAATTAAATTTAGGAAAAAAGGGATGTAAAACTCTGTTCCTTTCATTACATTTCTGAAGTTTACTGTGAACATTTCACTTAATTACTAGAAATAGTTAAAACCTTGACTTCTCTATTTCTATCATTACAACCATCTCCATTCTTCATTAGCATAGCAACAAATGTATTATTTTCTATCTCCCACTCTTGCCACACCCTGAAAAAGGGCAAATAATACCTTGCTGAACCAGTTGCTACAAAGAATCTGTATTTCAGTTCCTTTAACAGTTTCGTAGGAGGCTATCTATCACTTGCTCAATTTCAGCGATCTGTATCAATTTTCAGAATTTGATTTTTCTCCTTCAAGGAAGAAGATTAGACTGTGATCTATTCTGTCAAATGTAGTAAAAAGAGATTTTGATAGCAGCTGTTAAAATAACCATAACAAGGCAAAATAATCATACCCTAATATTCCACTGTATGGATTCCATCTCATACTCTGTTCAAATTGAGTTATATTGGAAAAAGGACAGAATTCGTACTTATATCTGAAAAAGATGAAAACTAAGTTATAAATTCTTGCCATAAGAGACGCAAACATATAACATATTAGATAAGTCACTAAGGTGGCTTCTCACTAGAACAGAGGGTTTGAACTTTGAATTTTCAAACGAGTTGAAATAGGAAAGGGCACTATACAATCCCTTTAAGAAATTATGCAACTTACTCATCCAAAATATTAGAGAAACACTTTCCCTTCATTCTTTCAAAATGTGGTGGTCCAGAAAAATTAGCTGGTTTTACTTTCATCTTTAAAGTATCTGAAAACTGGCCACTATAAATACCTCCAGCTACATTATTCAGGCTTAAAATAGAACAATTTTAGGGATATAGAATGTAGGCCTACTCAAGATATTTTTTATTTTATACCTTGAATGATGTTTTTTTTTCTGAAATTCAACAAGCTTATCTTTAATGATGAGGTCATTATCATATCAATTTATTATTCAGATGCAATGTTGGATTTTCATTCTGAAAGCGACCTAAGTCAGTTGTGTATGTTATGCAGCTATGACGGGTGGACACAGTTATAAAATTTTTAACTCTAATAATCCTGCACCTACCCATATGATGATGGTTCATCCACAATTTTCATATTTATCAACTCCAGGTTGCCATCTGAAATATTAAAGAGACATCCAGGTTCACCATTACTTTGAACAATCGTACCAAAATATAAGCTGATCAGTATAGGCCTAAAAGTGTTCACAACTCATCATAAAAATTTGTGCCTTCAAATCCATGTGTGTCCAGAATTATCTGCGTTTGAAAGTCAAAATGTATACTCATATTGACTCTGCCATATAGAGATAGAAAGTGAAATTTTGATGTAGGATTATGCAATATTCGTTCCATTCTAGCACTTCTAAAGACTATTTACATACATTCCAGACCCTGATCAACCCCTGAAAATGGCAAACCATGGCCATGATTAAGTTACGGCAAATTTTCATGACTGTAAAGTATTGTTTAAGAACAAAAATGGCAAAATAGGAAATTCAGATAAATAGATAGCTAGTTCAACAAAGTCTTCGTCGTGAGACAGAAGCATTAGGCTAGTTTTAAGTGTTACTCCTCAGACAGTCATGTCTTTGTGCCAGTAGTAGTGAGGCTCAGGCAGGGTTGGCAAATTCAAGACACCAAAGTATTGGGCCTGTCCTATCCACCACGACTATGCCATGTGCATGATTTATAGATAGAAATAAAGAAATAGGGTATTGTTTATCAAAGGGAATAAATATCAGGTTACTTTGCCACACAGTTGAAAGAATAATCAAGAAAAATGTGAATAAATAATTCGATTTTGCCATTCTTTGTTTTGATAACGTAGTTATCTCCCTTTGTAAATATAGTCTTGAATTTCCAGTCTGTATACATGTGGTGATGTTGCATCGACTTATTGTTAGTTCACTACGAAAAGGGATGGCATAAAAATAACATTATATTGTAAGTTTTGATAGAACTGTATCTTTTGTTAATGACGGATAAGATTGTAGACCTTATAATCAGTTCCTACCTGGTCATCAGAGACGACACTTTTTCCATGACCGTACACTACAGGCAGGAGATATTTACCACGCGTTACAAATAGTAATAGAGTAATATTTATAGAAACTAGAAATTATATGAATAGGCCTATATCTTTTGTCAATGAGTTGGTAATGACGTATAATATTGTTGGCCCTACTTGGTTGGTCTTCAAACAAGACTACACTTTATCCATGACCATAGGCTACACTAGAGGCAAGAGATATTTACCACATGTGATAAATAGACACTGGTGTTCGGTTATGGGGATTTCAAAAAATAAATTTTGGTCAGTTACTTAGCCTACAAATTTGGATAGTGAAAGGAATAATATTTTTTGCCATTCACATCAGGGTGGGCCTACTGGTATTAGGCTCCAGTTTCGTACAAGTATCATATAGGCCTACAGATATGTTGATACAAGTAGGCAACAGTCACTAAGTAGGCCTAGCCTATATTCTTTTTTAGGCCCATAATTAAATGTTGTATACTTTCAGTATAAGTAATGGGTAAACCTAGAAATGCCAAAGCTAGATGTGCAGCTGGTAAATCACATCATAAAAAAGGAAGAGCTGAAGCAAGAGAAGATAAATTTGATGAAGACAAATTCAATGATCATGTCCTTTCAGCAATAGCTAGTAAGTAGCCTACTTATAATTACCTAGACTTTCATTTGCATGTGGATTTGAATTTATTATCACATGATCTAAGAGAAAAGCTTTGTTTATAAGGCTATCCTGACAAAGAGCCTATTCTATAAGTTTAAGAAAAAACTTGAATAAAGTTTGATGTAATTGTTAACAGTATTTGGACCAATCTAGAACTTTCTGAGCTCATATTTTCAAAAAAAACTAAGCTCTTAGCAATAATTAGATACTACCTTCTTTTAAATGCTTTTTTCACTCATTTTTTTTCAGATGAAGAAAATGGTGAAGAAGGAGCAGCTTTTTGGTCACCTGAAAAGTTCCCCTGTCCATTAGCAATGTGGGATTTTGAACACTGTGATCCTAAGAAATGTACTGGAAGAAAGTTACATAGATTAGGTTATGTGAAAAATCTCAGAAGTAATCAGAGGTTTAATGGTTTAATATTAACACCAGCTGGTAGTAAATGTCTGTCACCTGATGATAGGTGAGATATAACTAGTGTTGCAGGGCCATAAAAACTAGGGGGCTGGCGGACATATTTGTGGTTACTAGAATTCCACATGTGGACCAAGATTAAAACCCAAAACCACCACCATTTGTTCAACAAAAACAAAGGATGTCATATAAAGTTTTAAACCCTCTAACCGAATGTGCTACATGACCCTTCAAAAATTAGCTCATGGTTCATGAGGATATTGGATGTACTCATCTGTTCTGTATCCCTTGGTCACTGCATAGATTGAAGCTTATGCTGCTGCTTTTACTTTGACAGGTATTCACATAAGCATTGAAGTTTTTATATTCGCATAATGATGTGTACTTATCTCATTGTCACCCTATTTATGCCATTCCACAATAATGAAAATGGATTTTGACGAAACTTGGTATTCTTGACTATAACAAGCAAGTGACCAGTTAATGAAAATTTCAAATTGGCATAACTTGAAATTGGTCGGATCTGATATTTTAATTAGATATGTTCTCTATAGTATGCTTTTATGTGTGTAAAATTTGACTCAAATCTTAGACTTAACTCAGAAACCTACTGAAAATTGGTGATTTCACATGGAACGGCCCAGTAAATTTTGCTGCATTGGTTTGTTGATTTGAGGATTCTTACCCTCAATCTCAATAAGAGGTGAAGACTCAAGAAATCTTATCATCAATTTCTGCCAAAAGTGTACCATTACACTTACACTTACAACAGATTGGTATAAGTATTAGCTGTCTAATAAACGAATATATAAATACATGAAAATAAGGGAAGGTATCTTTAAATGTGTATTATGTTATCAGACATAGTATTTAAACAGACAAGACCAGTTAAAAAAATAAACAATGTCTGTATTACCTGGGAGAAAACTATTTTTTTTGTTGAGATAGTAAAATCATTAGCTTTACTCTCTTACCTTTTAGGTTATAAAGAACTTGGTGAGATATTATTGAAGAAATTTAAATGGGGACAAGAGTTTTATATATTAAATCAAGAATTATTAGATATATACAGTGACTGTACAAATAGTGAGGAAGTGGTGAAAGCACAACAAATATACTTAGATAAAATACAATCACAATATGAAGAGAAAAAAGATTTTGGTAATTTTTGTAATTGCATTTGCCCTTTGAACATCTTTTTGACCAATCGTACCTGAGTCTCAGAAATTTTGTAGTTAAGCTAATCAGTGATAGTGTTTACAGTCCACCGTTGAAATTTGAACCTTCACATCTATGTGTGTCCATGTTTGAAAGTTAAAATGACAACCCCTCTTTTCTGGAGATTCTGCCATATATAGGAAAGACGTAGAAATATAAAGTGAAATTCATAGTTATTGTTCTTTTAAGGAATTATGCCACTTTCATACAATTCTAGTACTTCTGAAGTTTATTGACATGTATTCAAAACTCAAATCAAACCAGAAAATGGCAAACCTGTCCCTTTAAATGTACAAACCAAACTCTGCCTAGACTCAATTTTCTCATCTGACTAGGACATCATATTTTTCATTAAATTCAAAGAGACAACAATTTTTGCTATGTCAGTGTGGGCTTCTCACCCATCTGAGTCAAACTGCTCAATACACTCTTGGGTGCATGTTATTTACCTTGCAAGGACAAAATTATACTGCTTTTATTACCATTTCCAACTTTAATATAGTTAGATCATTGAATGATTTCTTGAATTGTTTTTGGTCCTCTAATTAGTACCAATATTGTGTGTCTATTCATGTAATAAATTTGTGTCTTGTTTAAATTACAGATGTAAATGAGATAGATTTTGATGTGGAATATTGTAATCCTAATAGAAGAAATTTACCTCCATCTTCTAGGTAAGATTAAACAATCCCTAAGTCGATTAATCCAACAAAATTTGATTCATGAAGGTGTTTATAAATACATAAATCAAAGATAGTTTAAGTACTTTCTGATGCTTAAAGGCAGAGTTGTTGGCCTTGTCTCCAAGCTGTCTTAGATTTTAACATAATGAAATTAACATAAAATCAGAGTGTCAGTCAGTACAAGTACATTTAGAGTTATCTTATTTGGGCTAACACAATTATTTCCCTTTGAATATTTAAAAGGCTCCTTCTCATTTTAACAATCACATGGTTAAGTAGGCATATCTGGGTGTGGTCCAATCCAATGTTCGACTCATTGTTTTCATATTTCGTATTGTTCTTCTAGTAGTGAATCCAGTTCTTCAGATGATGATGAAGTGAATGATGATGAAGCGAAGGATGATAATGATGATGAAGATGATGAAAGTGACAAAGATCATGATGATCAGGATAGTGATTTAGATCATAGTGAAAGTGATCATAAAAATACAATGAAATCTGAGAATTTGCCCACAAAGACTGTGACTGAAAAGAAAGTGACTTTTAATGACACTAAAGCCTCTAGTGATATCTGTCATGATGAGGTCTTGGAACTGACAACAGGACAAAATTTATCAACTTTTCAAAGGTTAGATCTAAATTCTGAAGAAACTAATAAAGAATGCAGCTGAAAACTGTGAAATCATTTATGGAAAGGTCTTGTGCCTTCAACACCGTCCTGCAGTACCATAGGTAGCATATGTGTTTGACAAATGTCTCATGATCCAATTTGGCATTCTTGGCACCAACAGACCAGAAAGACCTGGCATAGGTCTAGATGATACAGCCAGCATTTGCACCCCGTTTCATGTCAGTAATACAGGTCATTACCAAAATGTTTCAGAAAGCTCTTCATACTCTGCATTTGGAATCTGAACCCAAGCAGTTGTCTGTCTCCTATTCATACCCCTAGTTCCATTCGGCTGTCGTCATCTTATATTATATATATCTCATATGAGTCATATCTCTATAATGCATCTCTAGTCTCTATAGTCCATTGCATGCATCGTTAAAAATTGTGAAGTGAAACAGTTGTATGAATAGTTGCTATAACAGCCATCTAAATAGTTGCTATAACAGGTGTCTAAATAGTTGCTATAACAGTGGTCTAAATAATAGTTGCTGTAAAAGTCATCTAAATAGTTGCTAAAACAGTCGTCTAAATAGTTGTTATAACAGTCGTCTAAATAGTTGCTAAAACAGTCGTCTAAATAGTTGCTATAACAGTGGTCTAAATAGTTGCTATAACAGTGGTCTAAATAGTTGCTATAACAGTGGTCTAAATAATAGTTGCTATAACAGTCATCTAAATAGTTGCTATAACAGTCATCTAAATAGTTGCTATAACAGTAGTCTAAATAGTTGCTATAACAGTGGTCTAAATAGTTGCTATAACAGTCGTCTAAATAGTTGCTATAACAGTCGTCTAAATAGTTGCTATAACAGTCATCTAAATAGTTGCTATAACAGTCGTCTAAATAGTTGCTATAACAGTCATCTAAATAGTTGCTATAACAGTCGTCTAAATAGTTGCTATAACAGTCGTCTAAATAATAGTTGCTATAACAGTAGTCTAAATATTTGCTATAACAGTAGTCTAAATAGTTGCTATAACAGTAGTCTAAATATTTGCTATAACAGTAGTCTAAATAGTTGCTATAACAGTCGTCTAAATAATAGTTGCTATAACAGTCATCTAAATAGTTGCTATAACAGTCGTCTAAATAATAGTTGCTATAACAGTCGTCTAAATAATAGTTGCTATAACAGTAGTCTAAATAGTTGCTATAACAGTGGTCTAAATAGTTGCTATAACAGTCATCTAAATAGTTGCTATAACAGTTGTCCAAATAGTTGCTATAACAGTCGTCTAAATAATAGTTGCTATAACAGTAGTCTAAATAGTTGCTATAACAGTTGTCCAAATAGTTGCTAAAACAGTCGTCTAAATAGTTGCTATAACAGTAGTCTAAATAGTTGCTATAACAGTCGTTTAAATAGTTGCTATAACAGTCGTCTAAAAATTGTGAAGTGAAACAGTTGTATAAATAGTTGCTATAACAGTTGTCTAAATAGTTGCCATAACAGTTGTCTGAATAGTTGCTATAACATTCTTTAAGATAGTTGTTAAGGTGGGTTTATACAGAGCGCGAACGCGAACGTGACCGGCGCGAACGCGACTTTTCATCAGTTCAGTCATTCAAATAGAACGCAAACACGAACGCGGAAAACCGTTAATTAATTAATGAATTGGTCCAATGTTATTTTCTTTATAAGTTCCATACCATTGATGAAACAGGCAAAATAAATTGAATTTTTTTTAATCACACACCTGTCAGTCCAACCTTCTCTCCGATTCCCTTCCAAATATCTTTCTTTTTTACTGTCTCTTTGTAAGTTTTTTCAGCTTTGTCAAACAAAACTGGATTCTTTTCAATTTCTAAAATCAAAACTTCCGTTTTATCCATTGTTTGTACCCCACAAGCAAATTGGAAAAGCCATGTGCACAAGTTTCTATTTAAGGAAATGATGCAAGGGAGGTGGTACAAGCTGATTGGTTGATAGCAAGAAATCCGCCGCGACTTTCTGAAAAATTCGCTCTTGGGGCAATCTCGGTGGTCGACCGCGCGAACAAATATTTGTTCGCGTTCGCGTTCGCATTCTATTTGAACGGTCCCTCTATAAAATGATGAAACCATTCCATGACGAAAAACCGCGTTCGCGTTCGCGCTCTGTATAAATGCACCTTTATACAATCGTCTCGTCTAAATAATTGCTGTAACAGTCGTCAAAATAATTGCTATAACAGTCATCTAAATAGTTGCTAAAACAGTTGTCAACATAGTTGCTACAGCAGTCTTCTAAATAGTTGCTACAGCAGTCTTCTAAATAGTTGCTATAACAGTCATCTAAATAGTTGCTATAACAGTCGTCTAAATAGTTGCTATAACAGTCATCTAAATAGTTGCTATAACAGTCGTCTAAATAGTTGCTATAACAGTCATCTAAATAGTTGCTATAACAGTAGTCTAAATATTTGCTATAACAGTCGTCTAAATAGTTGCTATAACAGTCATCTAAATAGTTGCTATAACAGTAGTCTAAATAGTTGCTATAACAGTGGTCTAAATAGTTGCTATAACAGTGGTCTAAATAGTTGCTATAACAGTCGTCTAAATAGTTGCTATAACAGTCATCTAAATAGTTGCTATAACAGTAGTCTAAATAGTTGCTATAACAGTGGTCTAAATAGTTGCTATAACAGTCATCTAAATAGTTGCTATAACAGTCTTCTAAATAGTTGCTATAACAGTCGTCTAAATAATAGTTGCTATAACAGTAGTCTAAATATTTGCTATAACAGTAGTCTAAATAGTTGCTATAACAGTCATCTAAATAGTTGCTATAACAGTCGTCTAAATAATAGTTGCTATAACAGTAGTCTAAATATTTGCTATAACAGTCATCTAAATAATAGTTGCTATAACAGTAGTCTAAATATTTGCTATAACAGTCATCTAAATAGTTGATATAACAGTCGTCTAAATAATAGTTGCTATAACAGTAGTCTAAATATTTGCTATAACAGTCGTCTAAATAATAGTTGCTATAACAGTAGTCTAAATAGTTGCTATAACAGTCATCTAAATAGTTGCTATAACAGTCGTCTAAATAGTTGCTATAACAGTAGTCTAAATAGTTGCTATAACAGTCGTCTAAATAGTTGCTATAACAGTCGTCTAAATAGTTGCTATAACAGTCGTCTAAATAGTTGCTATAACAGTCATCTAAATAGTTGCTATAACAGTCGTCTAAATAGTTGCTATAACAGTCATCTAAATAAGAGACTAATAGTGGTTATTGCAGTCAATGTATAAATGAGGATGAAAAAGTGCAGACTATATGTTTTAAAAGTGTATATTACACTTTATTACTACATGTCGACTGGAACTAAAATAGAATACCACAATAAACACCTGCCTGAGTAGAGATTCGCTTGTCTTACGTCATAACCTTTATATTCTACTATCCCACACTTATAAATTCAGTTCGTGCCTACTCTATAACACTATGGTATATAATTTATAAGAATATGGTGTTAACCTTCAGTATTGTGTTATATGTATAGGGCGAACCTAGACCGAAACATCTGCTTTTAGTGCAGCTTACCAAGAGGCTGCAATAGACGAAATTCTTTCAGTTTAGGGCGGACTGAGAAGCATTTTGACCATCGAACCAATGGGTTTCCTTGCCCCCTCTCTGACCGTTGCTTAAGGAACATGTAGGTAAAGCTTATATAATACTTAAATTGAAAAAACTGTCGATTCTTCACATTTTTTTCACCAATCATACTTAGTCTCAGAAACGGGAATTATTTTAGCCAATAAGTTTTAGTGTTCAAAGCTCACCGTCGAAATTTGAGCCTTCAAATCGATGTGTGTCAAGAATAACCCGCGATTGAATGTTAAATTAACGACTCGTCTCTGTGATATATAGAAAAGACATGAGTAAAATTCCGATTTTGAAGTCTTTTTAAAGGAATTATGCGATTTTCTTACATTTCTAATACTTCTGAAGACTATTTACATATATTCAAGATTAAAATCAACCACCCAAAATGCCACACCTCTCCCTTTAATAGCTTCTTTATGCACTGTTCTGATTTTCCATTTGACGTATTTGGTCCCGGCATTTGGAAAAGTGGCGTCAAAAAGATTTTCCTGGATTACGGGAGCCACAGACGTCGAATAAGAAATCAGAATGGTATGAATACAAGCAAAATGTCCAGTAAATTTGAGTTGCACTCTTTCATCATGCATTGGTACTGGTCTCAGTATAGATAAGTAACTACTGACATTCGTCTTATATCTTCTATACTTGTAATTAGTAGCCTACTGAAGATATAGGTACATTGTCAGTAAAGTTAATCATAAGTAAAGTTTGGCTTTAAGCCAAGTGTAGAAGTTATCTTGAAACCTACTACACACAAAATTGATCATTGTTTATTGTTAACAGAAATATAATATAGTTCATTCATATAATAACCTTCGACAATTTCCACTGTTAAAGTGATAGCAAAGAGGTGTTCTAAATTTTAAAATTCTATCGGGGACACAGGTATTATCAATATCATTTGCACCATTTGAAAAATCTGCAAGACGTCTGTGGTTAATGCAATTCCACTAAACGAGAACGTTTAAGATGTTACTATTCGAAAAATAATAATGCTTGTATCATAAGGCCTTTCGCGATATATGACGTCATCAAAACTTAGCTGGAGTGGAATTGCAGGAAAAAAATAGACGTCTGATTGAAAATTGGAATGGTGCAAGTTGATGCTATCAGTGTCCCAGATGCACAAAAAAAATTAAGAAAATCTCTTTAAATGGTGCTCAAAACATCATAATTTAATATTGCTGCGTACATTCACACAAGGTTATTTGGAATATTTATAGGGAATACGTATAAACAACTCAATCGTGCATTCAACAAATAAATTATACACATAATAACAAAATCACTACAAACTTCATGGAACTTGACACATTTTGCAAGATATTTCGAACACTTTCAATATTGCATCACAAGACACGGCATAATGCTTTTAACCAGTAGCGGCGCCAGCTTTCCAAGACTAATGGTGGTTCTTAACAAGCTTCACATGGAGCGTCCGAGAGGGGTCTCCCGAAGAACATTTTTTAAAGATAGAATTAATTTGGTGCATTCTGGCACATATTTTGGAGCAAAAACATATAAAATTCATGTATTTAATTTGTTATAATGAAGTGGGGGTACAATATTGGGTACTACCTAATTTTCTAGGGGTGGGAGGGATGCCCCTCTGTAGCCCCACTAGCGATGCAACTGCTTTTAACACCATTGAGAACACTAAAATGATTGCTTGTTGGTGTTTCAGAGCAGTATGGTAAAAATTGTTCATTAGGTAAATTTCTCACATATTTCAAAGACTGGTGAACCGTCAAGTGTCTAGTTGAAAGTTCATTGCATGAGGCACACTAGTAGTATCAATATATCAATATCACATAAATGGAGGAGGGAATTTCAAGTCAATCACATTTGGAATCAGTCTCGAAAATGAAAACCGTCCTCGTTAGGGACAGCAATGTCATTAAGTATCATATCACCATCATAATTAATGCACTCCGATAACACTATATTGGCTTTCACAGTCAAATCACCGAATATCCTCTGGGATTGTTGAATAAGTCTATCACGTAATCCTCGTTTAGTTTCCTGGGCTTCATCCTTTAATAACGGTTGGGATATGAAGGTGTGGCTATGTTTGGTTCCTTCTATAAATTTCCAACGCACTGTTTGTAATTGGTCGCGACTCATTAAGCCAGCACCAAGTGGGACACCGTTTAAGAGACGAGGTAAAATCCTGAAACACGAATTTGGCACTTCACTATCACTGTACACATTTGTAAAGGTTATTTGCATCATGTAACACTTCTTTCCATCGTCCTCTTTCGACTGTTTTTTGACTAAAATCATAGCTTCTTTCGGAGAAATAGTAAACTCTGATACACCCGCCATGTTGATTTGGTTGACTAAACTTAAATTTCGTCTGCTTGAATTGGTATGAATTTGGGGTTCGGTAAGGGGGGAATTAGATCGAATTTCACGCCAGTTAGCCAGTTTACCTGTTAATAGTATACGCTTCTCGCGTGCGTTCTATCAAGAAACATAGGTGTACTACTGCAAACAGACTAAGTTCTTTCTATACCTTTAGTTGAACTGATCTAATATTCTTGGAAAATGGTCAAAAAGTTCCACAAACGTTCACGTAGTTTATAATGTATACCTGTTAGCGCATCTGGTATTATACTATTATTTCGCTTCGTACGATCTGAATGATATACCGACATAACCATGATCGTTACCATATAATATTATCAAACGATACTTATCCATATACCCATAACACGCAACACATCAAAAGGTCACCTACGTTACGTCAGTGGTTTTAACAGATTAACTAACTAATCTTAATCTGACATAATCAACTGTCTATTCAACCTGATCTAATCGATCTACATCGATTAATCTGTAACCAATATCATTAATTTAATCATGAACCCCATGTATATGGTGTCTTATATCCAACGCGCTTGACATAGCCAAAACGGTAAAAGCTTTCTGGTTTACAATGTACGGATAAATATTTTCAGGCAAAAGTTCATATTATGGAATTATCGTGTCGAAGCATCTTTCTGTAGAAGATTGTGCAGTTCTCTGTGCTCAGAATGAGCAAGATTATCCAACCAAATACACTACGGCATCATTTTGTCATTTTGCCAAGTATAAGGCATGGATCCAACTTTTAGATGTACATTATTTAGATGAAAAAGCAACCTGAAATACCAAGATATGTACATTAAAATAGTAAAGAAATAATTTTTTAATTCTAAAGGCGACAAAAAAGAGGCCGATCCGGCTTTGACCCCTGAAAAAGCAGTGAAACATTCTAGGGGGGCCACAGGCAGTCACTATGTAAGATGATAAAAAAATGTAACCGGGGGTGTCACGCCCTAGTATAGTGCCCACCCTTAAAAACGCCAATGTTAAAAGACCCCCACCCACACCCATAAATTTTTGAAACAAATCTGTTGATGTATGTCTTTGAAACCTTAATATGATGTTTGAGAGTTACTTTTACCAAAAACCTTTTTAAATTTCAAGGTTTTAAGGAATATCAAATGTAATCATTTTTGTAAGTCAATTATTATGGTACCTTCAATTGCAGTTCAAGGGAAATAACCCTTATCAAGCCAATTTTCCCATAACTCAATTGATTTAAGCAGTGTTTTGATAGAACTCAAAATAATATACGTTATATATTACAATAACAAAGTATTTTTACTGTTAAAATAGAGACTAATATAAAATCGTAAAGCGATTTATAAATAGTAAAACAGAACCTGCAAATGTTCGATCTTCAAACAACTCTGTTTCAGGTTCTGTTCAAATATTTATATACAGTATATCTTTCTACGTGATACATTATGTCATTCGGCAATTTTCGTGAGGGCGAACCTGTTGCAGAACGCTCGGGCGGAACTTCCACGGTAGACCGTTTGACATTATCGTATGTTGTCAACGACTGACAATATGCATTTTTTACAACGTCTATTACAGAATGACATCTCAAAATTCTCCGACTAAAGAGGACCAAAACGTTCTAAAAATTTCGAAATTTAATTGTACCCGTATTATTAAGTTGAATACGGCTAAGCTTTGGTTACAATATATTCTAAGGCTAATTTTAATTTTTTTTTCAAATTCTACATGGTAAAATCCCTTTAAACTGATAATCCCACAAACCCTTATAAATAAAAGTAATTTGATATGTTTGATTGTAAAGTTGGGTGGTTTTATTAGTGGACTATCGAGTATATTACTTTGTATATAGTATTATATTGAATATATCTCGTCTTACACCTAGAAATCAATCAAACTGTACTTGTAAACACTATATTGTTCTTTTTCTAGGTCGACAATATTATAGCCTGTTGGGACATATATGTACACACTTTTGTAATAACACCCAATGAAGATATCCGAAGGTCATAGTTAAAGGCAAGTACAATTTATAACTTCGTTGGAATAACTCATATTACTGACACAGTTTATAAAACAGTAAATGTGTGTAAAATTTTATTTTAAATGGAAGTTATTTGGGTATTAGTCATTTTGTTCTTCCAATAACAAATTGTGCAATGGTTATACCTAATATTGACTAGTTATGAGATCGTTTGGATTTCTAAATATTGATATTCATATAGTTATATAGGATCAGATCTCGACTATTACGTATCGTAGGTATGTATATCGTTTATTCAGTATATATTATCAAACTGTCAAGTGCTCTCATAAAAAATTTCAATCGTGTTTATAGGTGCCCGTATGGCACCAGCAGTGATTTAGGGTTCACATAGGGGGCAGACTGACTTAATGTATGAAATGTGAGCTTCCTATCTAACGTTTAAGAGAGTTCTCTGGAAATTTTTGAAGTAGAATCTGTTGTATTTTTATATTTTACAAGTCACTCTTTTCATAAGCTATGCCAGGGTTTTCCCAGTTTAACCATTTGAAACTTTTACTGTGCATCATCTCAGTCTAATTAATATTAGACCCAACTTTTGTTTAGTTTTATTTATTAGTTTTTATTTTTAGTATAGCCACTTCTGCTGTAACCAATCAAATTTACTCCTCTAGCTTTTTCCACCAGATTAGGTCAAAAGGTTATTTTGACAAATGTTGAAGAGTTCGGTCGTGAGACCTATTCTGAAGTGGCTATACTAAGAATAAAAACTAATAATAAACGACAAGAAAGTTGGGTCTAATTCAACTTAGACTAGCAGCATCTTGGAATCACATTGCCACAAGTTAGACATGCCCCACCCTACCAGTATCTTATCAGACTTTATCATGATATAAATTGGCAATGAATGACCATGCTGGTCGAATTGACAAATACATTAAGATAATGTCCTTGATTCTTAATCTATATTAGCTTATAACATATTTATATACCCAACTGACTAAATATGATTGCTCACGAACAGATTTAAAGGTATGAATTTACATTATTATCTATCTTTACTATATATAGGCAATAATCCGAAAGGATTATGCGAGTTATTGCGTACTCTTTGAACGAATGCACACCATTTACCTTGTCCGCATGAGTTCGGAACGATGAAACCTTCTGCACTGGCCAATTGCCAATAATGCGTAAAATTTGCTCAAGTTAATTTAAAGGATCAGATCCGTCAGTCACAAATTGTCCAATTTCTAGCAAATGCGATCAACTAATTGGCCACGGACTCTGATCCGATCACGAGCAACTGACGGCAATTAAACACAATATTTCTCAAAAATCGCAATACAACAAGAGTTAAGTCCACAATCTCATCTATAAGGACGGGTGTAAATCTACTTTTCATCTACCTAATGCGTCTGATCCAGTTGTCATTCAGTAAAGTACTTGAGACAGAATTCGTACACAGCTTGTGGTCTAGCTAAACAATCTTGAATTAAACTGGCAACGAAATCCAGATTGGCTGATTATGATCTAGCTGCCTTAAATGTCATTCAAGCTAAACGCAGTAGAAGATACATTCATATAAGTATCCCGGAAAATCTCTCTTATTTTCCCGTTATGTTATTATTATGAATAATAACAAGTAATAATAATAATAATAAAAAGTAAACTGTGATTTATATCAATATTCAATTTGATAATTACATGTATGTAAATAAATGTGATGTACTTTAGCTCAAGAAATGGACGAACAGTGGCAAGATTTACTATCGACATCATATTTTATTTCTCTCTAAATTTGGTCAAACGGTCGTAAAGAGGTTTAATAAATTTTTAATGTGTATCGGGCACACTGATAGCATCAATTTGCAGCATTCCAATTTTCAATCAGACGTCAGTGGTTCCTGCATTGCCACATAAAAGAAGTGGTTTATGGCGCCATTAATCGCAAAGTATCACAAAAAGGCATTTTGCGATTAGTGACCTCTTACTGAAAATTGGAATGGTGCAAATTGGTGCTATCAAGGTCTTCGATACATAGAACCACTTAGAAAACCTCTTTGCAATCCCTTTAAATTCCTGCTAGGTATAAACATTAAGTATCAGAGTCACGTTTTAGAATGAAACCATCATCATTGGCAAACAAATTGGTATTGATTGGATATTAGACATTGAAATACTTAAAGAACGAGAATCGATTCCTTTAATAATGTCAAATGACCTAATTAAAATTACATGTATTTCAGGTATAGCAGACATAAGATATGCGTTCACATTTAAACAACTATGACCTAACAACAGAACAGGACACCAACAGTAGGCAATCCGATTGACTTAAGCCGCTTTGAATAAACGGTTATTGTGTAATAGGCTTAATGTGTAATAATAATGGTTCAATACTTAACTGCACAAATCTCACCAACAACGAATACATTGAACCGACATCGAACGCAGCTAGTTCTTCTGCCACCCATTCAAGAAACGTCCACAAGTTATGAGACGCCACAAATCAAAATGGCGTCCAGAGGAAACACTCATATGATTTACCGTAGTATTCCACCACGACCTCATAGTTATACTTTCACGGATATTCTGGACGGTTTACCAAAATCTAGCAGATCGAAAACAGCACCATTACATACGACGGTTCCTGAAGAATATATTCAAAGATTTTGCAGCCGGGCTACTGCCAAACCCAAAGTGATTGATTTTGATGGTGGTAATGTGCAAAACTCCAGAGTTACTCACGTGAGCAAGAATGGATTTTTTCCTCCTTTAAGATTAAAGTTACTGCAAACGAATCACAAACCCTTGGAATTACAAGTGAGTCACTGTATAATTTTCTTTTTTTTCTTATGGCTGATAGTATTTTTTTATTCAAAATAATTCTTTAAGTTAAAGTCTCAATGTAATTATTTCATGTGTATCATACGAATCATGACATAGTTGAGAAATGATCGGCTCGGAAACTTGAATGTTGCTTTATACATTACTGTATGGTAGGGTTAGGGTCTACCCCGCTACAAGTGATGGGTTCATTTAAAATCTTGGCAAAGAAATAGTGTCTTACAGAGCTTCTTTTTTCCATCAATGTCTTAAGATGGAGCTGTCATTGTTTTGTGTTTGCTTAGAACTGTTAATCCAATTTTCCAAAATATTTTCATCAAAATGTTCAGTTTTAACTCTGCTTAGACTGTTTTCTAGATGCTTAAATATATTAATGAAATCTGCCCATACTTCTCCAATAAACATTTTTTCAGTCTTCTATGCAGAACAACGCGTTTGCAGTTCAGACGCTGTTTAGAAACAACAAAGTCAATAATAAATATTTGATAGGGTTGACTAGATTTTATTTTAATCAAAAAAGGGATTAATAAATAACAAGACCTACAGAAAGATATCAGATTAACTTAGATTAACGCTAGAGATTACAGACAGCCTATATGCCAAGAAATCACCTTGTTATATTAAATCCATATCTTATTACTGTTGTTTGTTAATTTCTGATCTGGCATTTTTCCAATCGAAATAATACTATTGTTTTTTCGGCCTAAATATTTTATTGATCTTATGTAGTTCCAAAATCCAAAAACATTAACTCTAACCATAAAACTGGTCAAAGAGAGAGTAACATTTCAAGTTGGCAATAAGTTTCAATAGTTTTAGTCATGTAAACGAATTTTAAGGGACAGGTTCGCCATTTTCGGGGGTTGATTTGGGTACTAGAAATGTACGAAAATCGCATAAGTCCTTCAAATACACTTCAAATTAGGAATTTACTGTCTAATTCTATACATCACAGAGTATCTTATAATGACGAGTCGTTCCTTTAACTTTTAAACGCAGATAATTCTGGAACATATCGATTTGAAGGCTCAAATTTCGATTGTGTGCTGTGAACATTAATACTGATTAGCTTAGCTAAAAAAATCCCAGATCGTCCCCCCACCCCCAAAAAAAAAATTTGGGTGCACTTTGTAAGTAAATGCAATGAAATGAATGGAGTTTTACGTCCTAATGTTCTGCACCATGTGGGCTAATGAAGGCGGGGGTACGCTTTGTAACCAAAATAGATATTCTTGTTAAAAATGTAAAAAGTAAACTTTTAATAACGCAATATTACAATCCATACCTTGCTTTACAACTTAAAAGACTTGATAATGAAAATGTTTCAATATGTTTCAGGAACCAGGTGTACAACTCTCTAGACTTCAATTGGCACCACTGTCTAAGAAATCCATGAAAGGTCGCCGGAACAAGCAGAAACCGTTAGTATCATCAAAATCAAATCCCGAAGTCAACAGATCAGAAAATAACCTGCCTTTAAAGGTTCCATTGCCAGGATCAGATTCCCCTAGATTAAAGTCGACGCATTCGAACGTAACCTCGACGAATAGTGTAGGGAGAGAGGAATACCAGGCTTTGGAAAGTGTTGATTCGAATATAGTTTACCCGAATATCATGTCCCACAGTGAGGAATTCGACGATCTAAGCAACTTCCCACCACCAAAGAAAATCATGCCAAACCGAGAATTGCCGTGGGTCTATCGTTTTAAAGTGAAGAAAGGAATGAACGCTTTGTCAAAAATTATGGCGAGTAAGCCAACGATGTTCGGCGGTAACGACCCCACTACTGTTGAATGATGGTCTATGATAAATTGTTATTTTAACTAAATTTGTTCTCTTTATAAGCTACTATCCCGGTATAGTCGAAAAGGAGTTGAGTACTAGTACTAGTACAATGTACATGTAATAAATTGTGATACAGGACATTCGTGTACAATATGAACTTAACTAGAAATGTCTTCTTCGAAAACAATTGCTAGGGGAGATATTGATTATGTAAGCAACAACAAACTGTAAGAATGTGATGTAACAAATATCTGACACAACTAATATTTCGTTCGTTGGAGTTCGATTTTGATAACAAAAAAATTGTATTAACATAATTAAATTGTCCATTCTAGAGTCTATATCAACTACATTCTATGTTTAGAAGGATGATTTCTTCTGCACAATTTCAAGCTATTACAGACTTCATTCTTATACCTTGACTGCATTAGCCACTATTCTTTTACCACGGAATGCAGGGGATATGTTGTAATAGAAAGCCAGAGAGTACAGCTAATCTGAGCCCTCGACATAAAGATTGTGTTCAGACTTTCTACCAAGGCCTCTGATTGGCTGTATTTGCTAGTGTACAATGCGCAGTCAAGGTATAAGTGCGAAGCAATAGCTTGATATTGTGAAGATGGGATGATGTGAGACTATCCTCCTTCTGCTGGTAAAACAGATATTTAGACAACTGAATCACTTGTCTAAGTCTGTAGTTCGTGCGATGAGCAATAATCATGAATGGCACGTGTGGTCCAAAATATACGACTGTCAATATAAACCTCATAATAACTACACAATAATCGAAATAAGATTATATAATTAACAGAAGGTAAGAATGCAACTCCTTTATTACAGTACTTTGTTTTTTTTTTAGTATAAGCCTCACGTTGAAAATACTTCTAACATCTACTTTTCACAATCAAACCAGTAAAAACGACTTGATACTTTCAAATTTGTGTCCCAAGTGTGATAATTGTACAGGCGGCAGCAATATGAAAATTATCCCCCTTTGACCACACTCGACAATGGCTTTTAGGTCAATGGCTTTTATCTTCAACTACTGAAATTTAATTTTATCATTACTGTCTTACTATAGTATGAGACTGCAGACCACATCAATGAAAAATTATCCCCCTTTGACCACATTCAACAATCATATTACGGTGCAAAATCTGATGGCAGATAAGTTCTAAAGCAGAAGTTTTGAGAAGCTTCACTTCCATTCTACATTCCCATGTCGATTGTAAAAGGCAAACTACACCCAGTCCATCTTAAATTATCTGTTGAATTTTAAAAGTTAGTCGATCATAAATTCTGAAATGAACTCACTTAATGAAATTGAACTACACCCAGTTCGTCTTTAATTAAATATAACTTCTTGCCTATTGCTCGAAGTGATATAATGTCTTCAAAATATCGGTTTTATATACAAGGAAGAATGTTAATTATTGACAATCCTGTCGATATATGTAACGGATTCTTTTTCTGAAAAGAGAAACGAATAGCTTACTATGTTCACAATGAGCTTAAAAATGAATTCTTGTTTTATCCCAATTCACAAATATTAGGATCCATATAAATATAAAGTTCCATGGTTTTTGAATTAAAATAAACCGAGATACCTTGTGCTAAAGGCTAGGTTGTTCACGTTCAAGATCCCTCACAGTTGAAAAAAGAAAAAAAATTAATTAAGTCTTCTTCAGCCAGAATTCACCTCATTGGGCACTGCATGGTGTTGCCCGTTTTCATAACCCAGTCAAGTGAAGAATAATGGCAAAACTAGTTTCGTTTCGTTTCTGTCAGCAAAATAATTCTTTAAACGACTACATCCCTTTGGTTAATTTTTTATTGAAACAATTTCAATGTTTTGATTGTCCAATGTTGTCGCTCGTGCGTTGAGCGAATATCACTGAAACCAACGTGTCGGATAGTAAATACATCAACGCAAAATAAGTTATCATAAACCAAACATTACACAAAAGTAAAGTAAGTAAGTAAGTAATCAATCCTTTTTTGTAATGTCATTCCTTAGTGTTAAACCCCCACGTGGAAGATTCGTGAAATGTATTATTTTGGAGTGAAAATCAAGCCCTCTAAATGCTAAAAATTTCTCAGGTCGTCTGAAATCCGTTAGCCTCTAGCAGCCCGCAGAACCTTGGTTTTTTTCCTTCGCGCTATATCTGTGTTGATCTTATTGTCGCCATTATTCAGTCAAGACCATCTATTATAGAATTTTCAATCATTGTCTGATCTAGAATACAAATTTTGTACCAGATATTAAACATCAGCAGACCAAAACTGAAGATATTTCTTTCTAACGTCTTCTGTAAAAAAAAGATCGTACTATTGACTATGAAATAAGACTACAGACCACATCAATGATAAATTATCTCCCTTTGACCACATTCAACAATTGCATGAAGGTTATAAATCTGAACGTAAAATGTTTCCACTGCACTTTTGTGTCTGTAAGCTTCCAGCTGAAACGATCCAATTTCAGATATCCGTATCCCTTTTAAGAATTGAAAAAAAAACCCACACAAATATGAAATAAAAAGATCATTGTCTAAAATTATTGGCTACCTTGAAATTATTCAACAAAATGTAATTTAATATTATATTATAGTTTCTTCAAATGAAATGAACAAACTATTTTAGAGACCTAATTTTCTTAAATTTTAACCATTCCTGAAATATAATGCTTTATGCTTTAGGTGCGAAAATTTCAACAAGACTAAAATATTCATCGCTAAATTCAGATCATTCTACTTGGTTGCACGCCACAGTCTAACTAGATCTTCGTGCCTTTCTATAAATTTCCATTCATGTTGAACTATGAGCCTCCATGGGCTAAAACGCAGAGTTTTTATATTTCTAACTATATACTTATATTGTAATTAACTTTTTCAAACTTAACATTTATATCAGACCACGCTAATGTCAAATTATCTTCATTTGAGCACAAAGATTCCCAAGATGGACCAAGCTTAGTCAAAAAGAAATCTTTAACGCAAAGAAAATAACAATCGTACTTTTTTCTCAGAAACGGACACTAGTTAAGCTAATCAGTAATAATAATCAAAGCTAACCGCCAAAATTTGAGGCTTCCAATCCATGCGTGGTGAGAATTATTTTAATGTTAAAATGACGACTCGTCATTTCTTGAGACTCCACGATATATAGAAGATAGCTTGCCATGCAGGCAAGGTAATATACGCCCACTACCAGCTGTCAGAAATGATAACAAAGTATGTAGCTGCTTAATAATGAATCCTCAAATAATCTTAAAATATTTATAAGTCAAGGCAAAACCTCAAAAAAGTTAATTAAATTATCATCCAATTCAAACATGAACAGGGTCTCATTGACGTACACACAGCAACAATAAGTCATGCGCTTATTACCAATTTCGAACTTGTTTCCAGTTAATGTGATACTACGTCTTAGAATGAACATACAATTTAAGTTCCCAAGAATGGTCAACATGAGTATATATTCATCAGTGAACTTTCCTGGTATCATAAAGTTACAACAAATTCCCTGTAAAATCTGGAAAATTGGAAAATTCATAAAACTAAGTAATTTTTGAAAACGCTTAATCTTGATATTTGTTTTCCAATAGTTAATTGTATATTTATGGATAATTAATAAGTTTTTTGTATTTATTAGATTATATAAGGATCTTGTTATGCTATTTATGACACTAGGTGAATCTGCTGATGAATATATACTCTTATTGGCCAAGTTTAAAATTCTTAAATTTTATGTTCATTCTAAGACGTAGTATCATTTTAAATAAACACAGAAGAAAGAAATGAAACGACAAATAACTATCGCCTTGTCACGTGACAACTATCAATAACTCTTAACCCCGCCTATTAAATTGTCAATATTGAATGGTTTATAGAATTTCGACTGCCAATGAACATAGTTATGAGTTGAAATGTTATTAGTTTTATCATTCATTTATCATGACCAATAATGTTATTTATTGCACAACACAATGATACAATGTTTTATGGTGGCAGTTCCCCCGATAATGTTTTAAATATATTGTGGCGATAGTCCATAGTAAATAATATTTATATTATAAATTAGTACATAGGAAAAGCACTCTCAACCTTTCCATAACTTGAGTTGATTTGGGTCTTACCCTTCAGAAAGACAAGGAATGTACAAAATCGCTGTGAAAAAGTGAGTAATAATTTCGTGACAACATATTAATTGAACAACGTTGTTTTGAATTTCTAAAGAGAAGTAACTGATATACAGACGATATGCGAGAGCCGAAAGGTACAGGCCCGTAATCATACCCGGAGGAGCAATGATGAATGGCGTTTTGTTGCAATAATGGAATTGGTCGGTTGTCAGAATTGTTTGGGGGTGGGTGTGGGGGTTTGGAGGCTGGCAATCTATTTTGCAACTGGCTTGGAAAGGTATTATGCATAACTCGAACAGCTCTCGACTCAAATCAAACTGAGAGGATGTTTTCTTATGCCATGAACACGACCTGATCCAAATCATCCTTCAATCCTCAACAAGCTAAGGGGTGAAAAAATGAAATGAATGGAGTTTCATGTCCTACTCTTTTGTACCCAATTGGGCTACTGAAAGCGAGCAACGCCATGCAGATTGCAATGAGGGAAATTTTGTCAGGACACCTGCATAGGCCTACTCTTTTTTCTATTTCCTACTGTCTAGCGATCTTTAGTGTGCACAACCTGTATCAGTAGCACATGGGCCATCGGTTTATTGTCCCATCCGAAAGGCAAGAAAGCCAACTTACCGAATAAATTTTATTTTTTTTATATCAAAGGCGGTCGGTCGTCAATCTGTGTCAAATCGTACCAAATATGTAACATGTCTAAGATATTGTTGATTATAACAAACTTACACACTTAGAATTTCATGAAATTTACAAAACATAAACTGTCACCACTATCGCGTTCACAAGAACCATTTAACATAATGTCAGTTTATCAAGGGTTTAAAATCCGCTATTATGTTTTGAATCGTACTCAAATTCAAACTCCAAATTCTTTTAGATTTTGACATAAACTGGCACTTCTATCGCATTTACAAGCTCTATTTTAGATTAATTTAAGTGTAACCAATTCGAACGTGTTTATGTTGTCTCATCGTAATAAACCTACATACTTAATTTTATAAAAATCGAGAGCATTTCAATACCTATCGGTATATAAGATGCTTTGGAATGTATTTTATTAGGTTGTAAAACACTTATCTATCAAAATAATCGAAGATTTGGATATGGGTGTAAATTGAAACTAATGTCTTTTTAACATTTCTGAAAAATCAAATTATTACAATGTTTAATATTGATTCACACCTGAAGGTGTCGATCTTGTTAAACATAATTTTCATGGAGGCACAAGTCATTCTTTCACTATGTAAAATCCGCCAGACGCGCCTGATCCGCCGTAGAAATGCCACTGTGGGCATAATTGAAACCCAGGAATTGAAGGAAGTTCAAATTGTTAAAAAAGAGAAAAGATTTATAAAATGTGTCCTATTCTATGAAAGACATAATACTGCAAAACGCTTACCTTAAATACATCCTGTCGGTTTGCTATGGGTCTGTACAATGAATAACATCTTAAATTGGCGCGGTTTATATCTCGAAGCAACTCAGCGGTTCTATTACAGTGTATAATTTTCAATGATATTACATGGTCAATAAATCTGACATTGATTATCCATTTTACGGGGCGCTTAAGAAGTCAATGTAAATTTTAACCAGCTGATGGGGCCTGATGACGTATTCCAATGCAAAGCCTATGTAAAACTATACATGTTCTGACCTAAAAAGGACTTAAAAAAAAAAAAAAAA